GGTTCAGGAACGGTGGGTTATCAGACAGGCACTAGGATGCAGTCATGGAAACGGGCTCCAGGCCCACTGCCTCTTACCACACGGGAACCTCAGGGATGGCATTTAGCTTATTTTAGCTTGTTTCCATGTCTGCACAACAGAAATTATTTCTGCCTTTCCTGTTTCACAGGGTTTTGTTTGGGTGTTGCTTCCCCCCTGGGCGCTGAACAGCACAATGGGGCCTCTTAACAAGGAACATGATCTGGAATCATCTCAAATAACCAAAGCTTTAAGGTGTCGCAAGATTTTCCAATCCCAAACAACCACCCAGATGTAATAAAAACAATCTTAGCTAATTAACCATGGTATAAAATTTAATGACTGAATTCTATGTTGTATTTCCATCACTTAATTGTCCTCCTGAAAGATGAACTCTATACTCAGATTGTTAAATATTACAAATCTCACTGCTTAAATTTGAATTTTACCCATTTAAACTGGTAAATATACTAATAATTCTAAAATAAATTGCATCAAAATAGCAGCCAGCAAGCTATTATTTGCATGGATTGGGGAGGCAAAGCTGATAGTCATTAGTGTAAATCTCTAAGGCAAAGAACTGGGAGAACTTCCTTCTTATTTAGTTTTGACTCCTGGCAAGATGGTGAACTAATACAGGCTGTGGGCTTCTTCCTAAAACACCTCTGGAGAAACTTGAGAGACACAGAGAGGTAGAGAGAAGGGGAGGGGGTGGGGGCGGGCAGGTAGACATTCTAGGGGAAAAAAAATATACCACAAGTGAGAAGTCCTGAAAGATTGTCTTGAACCTTGGAGTATGGCTGGGAAGTGGCATGGTGGGCGGTGAGGAGGCAGCGGGCAATCCTTAACGCCTGTGCAATACAGAAGTGTGTGATTACTCATTAAGAATATCTACTATCAGAAACAGGACAGGGAACTCAGGAATTTGAAATAACGTTGTAAAATTTGGGAAATAAGGGAAAAATGCTAACATAAAGCAAAATCAAGAAATCATTAGAAAAATCCAAATTGAAATGTGTGAAAATATAATAATTGGAATTTAAAAAAGCGTCACTACAATGGGATACATGGCAAGTTGAATAGATAAAGAATAAATAAATGTTGAGAGGTCAGATTGAAAAATTTTTCTAGAAGCAGCAGGAAACAGCAAAGAGATGGAAACCATGAAAGATTAGCTCAGGGATACGGGAGTAGAGTTAACATCATAGGAGTCCCGGGGGAGGGGGGAAAATCAAACTACCACGCCTTCTTAAAAACTTTGTGAACAGACAAAACCTCAGGATTAAGGGGAAAAAATTACTACCCACGCCTTGATTTTATTAGAATAGCAAGCTACTAAGAACTGAGTGAACAAATAAATACATTCTAGTAAGATTAACTTTCAGAATTTACGAAAGAGCTGGGACATCTGGAAGAGCAAATCTCTCTCTTCCTCAGATCTGACCGTCAGCCTGCGCACCTCACCGTCTAGCCCCGTAACTGTGGACTTGCTCCGTCAGCCGCCTCACCAGCAGGGCCAGGGCGCTGTTCTGGTTCTGCGCTTTTCCTGAATCCAGCAGCAACTCCCAGCTGTTTAAAGACAGACATCTGTATGACCCGAACTGGTTGTGGGTATGCTTGCAGGCATTGTACAGTAAATTTCCCCCAGTCCCACCCTACCTTCTGAGATCAAACCTTTTGAAGAACAGGCATTTCAGTCAACTTTGTTTTCATGAGAGGTGTCAAATAAACAGTCCTGAGATTAGCAACAAATATTGAACATGAACATTCTATGGATTAAAATATAGTTAGAAACTAGAGAAAAGATAACCGGACTTATGAAACTTCTCTGGATATATATATACACACACAAAAATGCTTTACACAATTAAAATTAAGATACATTAATGGACTTTTTCAGAACATCTACAAAAATCAATTCCCAAGTGCTCATATCCTGTTGAGTTGGAAATGAAACACAATATACACTTGAGCCTATTTGATTTTCACTCCTTTAATTGTAACTGGCATTATGAGAAAAAAATGGGAGGTGACTCCTGCAAAGAAATCTGTAGTAGACAACAAGGTCTCATTTCTATCATTAGCTATTGTGAATAGATATCCACATTTTACTTATTCTACCTATTTAAATCTTATCAATTGTGTGAAACTGATTAAAATGGTCAAATTGTTTCAGAAATTTTGGGGGTATCATAGGATTAAGATATTTAATAAAACACATTTTTGTTATTAAAGTCTCAGAAGAATCCCTTAAGTATTAAGTCCTCCTTCCTGAACCCCCTGTAAGTGAACATATTTCCTTCATTACGTCACTACAAAATAGCATAAAAATTATTCTAACTACATGACATGAAATTAAAACAACAGACTGTACTGGCAGGAAATTCTGGGTTTATCTTCCTTTCATGAAGGTTTTTTAAAAGTATATTTATGGTGAAAGTAATGAATATTAAATCTTTCACTCATACACATAAATGATTAAGAATGGTTAAGGTTTCTGCTCAGTTTCAACAGACACTCTGAGAAAGGTTAAATAGGCTATGCAGACTGGAAAGTTTAAAAAGTAAATGGAAGGAGATCAGGTGAAAATTAGTCAAATAACTTGATATTGAAAACACCCAGAGTTAAGAGTCTAAGCCTTCAATATTTGTGTATGGTGCCTCAGCTAGCAGCATTGTCTTGTTGGAGCAAAATCTCAAACTCCAAGCCAATCCTATGGATTAAAATCCTCCTTTTTTCAGACCCTCAGGTGATTCAAATGAATATTAAAGTTGCAGAAGCTGGGGAACGGCTATTTTGAAAACTTAAGGCAAATGGGATACCTTATGACTGCCAGGAAACCCCAACATAGCTTTTTTTGTATTTTTATAGAGATTGTAGCAAATCTTCATAGCGAATATGTGTTCCCTAAGAGTGAGGGTTATATTTGATTCCTTTTTGCATCCTCAGCATCTATTTTAATGCCATGCTCACATTTGGCCCAGTGAGAATCGATGACTATATGGTGTTAAAATTTTAAAAAAGCAGTCAAGTCAGTAATGCTACAGTATTTGTTAAAAAGGTTAAGATGGTTGGCTCAGTGGCTAAGTACAAAGACATTCAATAGAGACATATGAAAAGCTAAATAAGTGAAAATATGAAAAACTTCTGCTCACATAATGGGAAAACAGTGTTAAGTGCTTAATTAGTGAGAAGCACACAACGGTTTTGAGCATCATTATGTATAATCTGTTAACTTCTTAACCACATAGAGCAAATGTGATATCAGAATGTATACCTATTTTCATTATGCTAAGCCATATTATTGGTCTATTATCCTGGTCAAATTTGAATGGAATTCTGTGCTCTTTGACCAAGGAAGAATCTAGAATGTAAAGTGGGTTTTAGATAAAAATCATTTGGGGAAATTGACTCAGGTTACAGTTCAGAGAATGCTAATAGTTACTCACAAATACTTGTTAAGCATAAAGCCTGTAGTGTAATTCTACCAGGTCAAATTTCACAGGCCATAGCCACCTGTCCACACCACTGCCCTCCCCTCACTGCAAGTGCTGAGGATCCCAAGGGCCACTCACACTTGTTACCAGCTGGTTACAAATACAGGGGTTCCCACTAACCCCTCAAGTTCAATAGTTTGACAGGACGATTCACAGAACTCAGGGAAGGGCTCTACTTTCCATTAGTTTCGTTATAAAGGATACAAATCAGAACCAGACAAAAGAAACGTATGGAACAAGGTCAGGAGGGTTACACTGAGCTTCCATGACCTTAGGACACATCACCCTCCGGGCACGTCAGTGTGAAGTTCTCACCTCGTAGCCTTGATTGATTGAATCATTGGCCACACAACTAAAGTCAATCTCCAGACCCTTTTCTTTCCCTGCAGATTGAGCTGATACCATTTAGTATAAACCCCAAACTGTAAATGACATGGTTCTTTGCCATATGGCCAGCCCTCACCCTGGAACTATCTAGAAATCCACCATTAATAACAAAGACACTTTTATCACTTGGGAAATTCCAAGGATCAGAAGCCGCCGCTCAAGAACCAGAGACAAAGGCCAGTCAAATTCTATATTATACAACAGGGCTTGCTGAGGATTCTGGCTTGCCTTCAGGTCACATTTTAATACAGTGATCCACAAGAGTTGGCCAGATTCTTCTGTTATTTTGTAGCATTGAACATTATGCCAAAAAAGGGGACTTAAATATGGCAGAATTCAGAACATCAGTTAGACAGTAACCATTTTGGTCTAATGGTATTCTTTGATGATAAATTTGTATGACATGCATACTTACTGTCTAGTACATGATAGGCACCTCATGTGAACACTGCTGAAGAAAACAATTTGTATCTATACACTGCTTAAAACAAATTGAATTGCATTTAACTAATGTTCCAATCAGATGATCCCTGCCTTTTCACTTAAGTATGTCTCACAAATTCTTTACTAAAAACACTTTATCATTCATTATGTTACTTTGGGTTACTTAAATGTTCACAGTGGGTACAGATAATATGCTTTTGGGTATGACAGCACTGGGTTCAGAGCCCAGTCCTATTCCATAGTAGTCAAGTAACTGTGAGCCAGTAAGTTCCCGCTCTGGTCCTCAACCTCTGTATGGTGAAGAATGTGAACATGCATAATCACACCTACTTAGCCAATATAGTGATTAAGAGCGTGACTGCTTGACAGCTCCGGCATTCTAGCTACGTGAGGTTAGGAATGCCACTTAATTTCTCTGGCCATAGCTTCCTCATCCATAAAATGAGGTAAATAAGAATTTGCCCTCATAGAGGTAGTATGAGGATTAAATAAATTATTGCATATAAAGCACTTATATAGTGCCTGCCACCTAACAGGCACTTAAATATTAGCAAGCACAATTATTATTTTTATTCCCTTATTACTTATTTTGGTTGTTGGGATGACATGAGAAGAAATTCATTAAAGCTCAGATTATAAAATCTCACACTAAAGGATGTTCAAAAGTTTATTTCCTTTAGTATAGGAATTCTTTTACGTTTCAGACTGTTTATGGATACAAATAAGTGAGATGAAGTTTACCTCCATGTGATGGCAGGTGAACAAAAAGGAAATGGAGTATAAAGGGTTAGTTAGGCTGGCAAACTCACTTTTCAAACAGTGCTAAATTGTTTAAAATTAGGCGGGTGGGATGAGGAAAATGGTGGTAACAGGCAAGGTAAAAAGTTAGAAAAGCATTTCTTATTTTTTTAGAGTTTAAGGCAGCATGATGAGGTATAAATTAAGATTCCTTTCATTTTAACATACAAAAACCTAAAAATGATCACCATTTATTTGGGGAATAAATCCCCACATTATTTTAACATATGACAAATAAAAACCAGAAATCCTTATGTTAGATACTTAAATTATCATGGGTTCTTGTACCCACATATATTTATTTATAGGTTAAAGTCATCATCAGAACACAATGGAACTTTAAGAATGAAATTAAATATTCCAAGCATATTATACTCACAAAATATGTGGTATCACCAATAGCATAGATATTAAGCTGTTTTAACCAACATTACTTAGAAATAAAATGAAGATAAATAGGAGTTCTTTAATAGAGTGGAAGCAATTCCAAAACTTACTGCTAAAACATAAGGGCCAACATTTTTGTGTTTAGACTCAAAACTATAAAAGCAACATATTATTTTCAAGTTGCCAAATTAAATTTTACTTTGATGAGAAAAATTATTATAAAATAGTAAAATTATGTGTTATTTTCCCTTCAATTAAAAAACCTGAATTATTAAATCTTTTAGTATTTCTTTGATGAGTAGTACCAAGTATGTCTTGTGATGCACACTTACAGGGTAACAGGATGACGACTCCCTTTACTATTTTGCCTGTATTCCGCATACTCAAAGTATGCTTTCTCTGAATAGTATTTTTTAAATTACTGGGAAATAGGTTGTCTTAAAGTTTCTGTAAAGCCTCACTCCAACCTTTTCTTCCCTCTTCATAACAAAAATCTACTAACACATTCTTTAAAAAAAAAATATCACAGAATTTTTATTTATAATGAAGTCTCTAGACTTTAAATCATCGGTTCACTCTTATAACAGAGAATCAATTTAAATAACACCAAAATGGAATGAAGACAAAGCAATCTGCTATTACATATCAATTTCTTTGATATGTCACAATGATATCCAATTAGTCTTGCAACATGGTTGATTTCCAGAGAAATTCTCAATAGACTGTTGAGAATTATGGTCCTTTATATGACATTTTATCCTAAGGTGCGCCAGATGTGGCTGTCTTGATTGCTTCAGAAGGCAAACAGTCAAACAAGTGTTCTGAAAAGGCTGACTTCATGCATAATCCATCCATCCACAAATGGATGCCTTCACAAGCTTGCCTTCAGATCCTTTGGTTTTTATAATAATCCCTTTGGAAAGTTAATTAGTTGATGATTGTTCCCATAGAACTCTATCTTAAACTGGATGAATCACTGCCTATACAGTTTGTGCCAACGTCCTTGACTTTCTCATTTCTGCTTTTTTGGGTATCAGATCATATAGTGATGGTAGTCTTATTTTATCCATATTTTTGCTGTAAACATTGAGAAATATGCCAAGGACAACTAACAAACCAGACCATACATACCTAAAAGAGAAAAAAGGAAAAAAGATTAATGTCAAGGTACCAATTTGTTGTTAACGACAGAATTTGGTGGTAATTGCATTAAAATAAAAATGGTATTTTTAGGTCAGGTTAGCTAGAATTCCATATCTTTTATGTTAAGTATATATATATACAGAGAAGGTATTTTACAAAATACTAAATGTAGTTCATTTGAATTTTTAGGACAACCAAATTCAAAGCCCAACTCCTACTCAAATCTTAAGAGTATATTTAACACACTGGATGTGTGAATTTGCCAACAGAGGTTTTAGGGATTCAATTCAGCAGTCCAGGTAGTTACCCCAGTTGGGTAGACTACAAAGACAGAAAAAGGTGCATGCACATCCTGAGAAAGAAGGGGAATTGGTAGAGATGACTGTAATGTATACCTAGCGTGTGCAGAAAGAGAGGCTAACTTAGAGAAAACAAACATTCATGGAAACTTATTTTGTGATTACCTTTAAACTTATACATTGATGATTTCTAGGTTTGAATCTTCTCAATTACTAACCAACGTAAGTTTGAATTATGTTAATTTCAAACACTACTAGACAATAAAGAAAATAAATAGTAAATACTTGCACAAAAGCCACAAACTAAATCATTAGGGTACAGCTTACAGAATACTTCTCCAACTCAAATCCTTGTAGGAAAAGGCAGCAAATAAACTTACTTCTAAAAACCATATAATATGTATTTTATATATATACATATATATATTATACATATGTTTATATGTATGTATTTTATGTATACATATATTATGGTTTCATATATATTTATATGTAATTTACATATTATATATAAAATTTATACTTTCACATTCATTTATATTGGGAACTCATTCATTTATACTGGAAACAGGGACACACTTACATTGCGACTCTAGTTAGGTAATTTGTGTTCAAGATCATTTCTTCAAAATAATTACATTTCTGAGACAGCAGAGGAACATCAACAAATTAGGGGTCAAGATGAAAAGAAATTAAGGCTGTCTGAGAGGAAATGTGACACAAAGTAACTATGAGTGGAGACATTTGTTGAATTGAAAGTACTTACTGAAATGTGAATGGCTTAGCAAAGAATATAAATGAAAGTACAATGGTCATTGCTTTTCTTCCTGTTGTCACTGTGGGAGAAAAAAGGCTGGTTTAGAATGTGTGTACTATCTTGGTAATATTGTGGAATCACTTATCAGCAAATATTTACAGAGCCTATTAGGGGCCAAGGTCTATGTCAGGTGCCAAGGGAACGACATAATGCAAATAACATGTTCCTGCTACTTTGGGGCTAACAGTCTAGTAGGGATGCAGACATTCAATAATACAGCAAATGTTCAAGTATAAAATAGGGACTTGCTGGAGGCCATGACACCATGGAAGCATTCCTTTAGAGAAGTTTCCTTAGTTTGGCAGGAAAGAAAGGCTTTCCCAGGGAAGATAGGACTTGGCAGAGCAGGGTTATTCTTTAAAAGTAATAATCTATAAAGGACCTACTAGTATCTTAATAATGGTCATTTCTGGATAAGACTAAGTGATCTTTATAATCCTCTTTACATGGGTGTGTTAACTTTTCCCTGCCCTTCAAGTACTACCTCGAAGTCTGCTGTATGGCCTGAAACCTTCCTCCCTGTCCCAGCCAGGTGACGACAGGAGGTCTGCACGTACTTCTACTGTGGGCTTTCTCCCACTTTGCATTATCAGTTGCTATTTTCCCACTAGACTGTGTGCTTCACTTAGTTCCTTGTCTTATTCCTCCTTATATCCCCAGACTCTGTAATAGTTTCTGGCACTTAATATTCCACACTTGAATAAAGAATACCAAGTGGAACTGTTTTGGAAACATGTCAGAGCTTGATTTCCAAAATCTATTTTTCCTTCTACTTTACTGAAAGGAAAAGTAAAGAGGCTGGAATATATGCCTCGTTTTAACTGGGCATATCTTCCAGCCTCTCTTACACCCCTACGTGGGCCCATGGACTAGGTTTTGGTCAATGAAAAGTGAGCAGAAGCGCTATTTCTAGGAGGGTGATTTTTAGGAAGTTTCCATAAAGAGAGTCTTTCATCTTTTCTCCATCCCGCTGAATGAGGATGAAGATGGCAGAGCACACAGGAGGGGCTGGATTTCTAATGAGCGTGGAGCTGCCACACCAGCTCAGGAGGCCATATAACACCTGGGTTGAATTACTTTATAGGATTAGAGCAAAATTAAATGTACATATGCATCTGGATGTAAATTCTACAGATCTCTGAGAACAACGACCAAGTCCAACTCGATCGATTCACGAAAGAGAAAGGGAGCTCAGAGGGGCGGAGACTCACTCTCCAGGTCACATGTCATTGAACATCGGAGCTGGGACTGGGCTCTACCTTCTGACATCCCAGTCCAGCGCTCTTCACGACATGAAATACCATTTCCAATCCTGGGCTGCATCTAGGACTTTTTCCATTTGGAAACATCAGAGCATCCTTCATCTGGACCATTTATTTGGCCAAAAATATAAGGTAGCACATGAACTCATCTGTCCCCGTGATCTGTAGCCCCTCATCCAGTCTCCTGACTCCTCCAAAGCAAAACAAAAACAATTTCGACTCCTCTAAAGTGCCAAGCAAAGTCCCTGCATAGAGCAGGTAAAACAGAAGTTAATCTGATTGGTGTCCTCGAAAGGATGTGTACAAATGAAAGGTTTGTTTAAGCTAAACCTGCTAGCCTTATGTGCAACAGAATTAGAATTTTCAGTTCTAAATTAAAAGTGTATAAAGGCAGTATTTTTCTCTGAAAGTATTCATCCTGTCATGCTTTTAAATAAAAAGTTCCTTTAATGTATTTAAAAATTACATATTTGATAAAAGTTTATTTATAAAATCAAATTTAAAATGAAACAAACTAAGATCAAATATAATTTTCCTTAGAATTAAAAAATAACTAAGAATTTTTTTATAATCCCATAATTGAAATATGACAATTTTCTTTTTAATGAAGAGTAAATGCTGCCTATATCTTTTGGAAAAGAGCATCAGAGAAACTGAAATGCTTATTTCATAAGCTAAGCAAGTATACCATTCCTACCTGTTACTGCAAGAAGTGCACCAAAAATTTTAATCAAAGCCAGAACAAAGGAGATTCCAAAATACCCAGTGAGGGAAAAAAGGAAAGCATAACCATAGGTTTGAACTGGATTCTGCAATGTATAAAAAAAGCCTGTTAGAAAAATTCAAAACAAACCCTGAGATATTACAAATGAAATAAAACTACAGATTTTAATCAGTTTCTTGAGTAATAATAAGCCATTCCACAATGCAAAGATTATTACTTAGTTTTGATTTAATGGACAAATAATGGTGAAATTAAAAATGAACAATTTGTACACTATGAACAGCTTAAAAATTAACTTATAGGTTACAGCCCAGAAAAAATAAACTTAAATATATATTATTTCATTTCTGAAATAATTTATGATCTCCACATACTATATTAAAGGAGTTATCAAATTACATAAAACAGTCTTTCTGAACAATGGGGAATTAGAAATACAGACAAAATTATTTAATGGAAGATGCTTATTTTTTAAAATGTGATTAGTGTTTACCTTTGAACAGAAGGCTACTGCAGGGCCTAACCCACTAGTGCACGTCAATCCCAAAAAAATGTACACAAAACCAATTGAATACGAGTACAAAACCTAGAACAGATAAAAATAAGGTGAAAAAATGCTATCAAACCAAAGGTGGAAAATGAAGGATTTTCAAAGTATGGCTTAATTAATCTATTCAATGAAATTAGTAGAACAAATTGTTTTTTAAAGTAATGTGCCATTGTTTCAATCTGGAAGCCTTCTTGAAATGATGGTTGCTTCTAATTTTTTTAAGTTTACACCTTATCTTATATACAACACAGCAGTCCTGATCCTTTCAGATAAGGTTACATAATTACTCACTTTTTTTTTTAACTGACTTGATTACTGAATTCAAACCAGATTTTAATGTTGTTTCTAAAAATATACATAATCAAAACAAATTTTAAAGCTACTTATAAAATATGAAAAGGCCCAAATATTGTTTGCAAAGACATTAATATAACAAAATAAGCAGTATATGGCATATCTATTGATTTTCCAATTTCCCTACAAATCTTTCCATCCCAGTTCATTATACTAAACAGAACCAGCATTAACATTATCATCAAACTTGCAATACCTGCTCTATGCCAGGTACTGTGCTAATAATGCTCTTTATGGATTATTCAATTTATTTCTCACAACCGACCTATGGGACAAGTACTTTTTCCCTAGTTTATAGATGAAGAAACTAAAACTTAGAGGAAGTAAGTCATTTTCACCAAATAAGAGAGCTAATAAAGCTAGGATATAAACGGAGGCTATTTTAGTCCAGAGCCTTAACTCTTAACCATTATATTATATTAACTATATTAACTATCTACATATCCTTAATGCTCTTATCATTTATCTTTTCAAGGAAGACTGGTGATAATGATGAAGAAAACCCCTTACCAAGATTAAAGTTCCTATGTGCCTAGAGATTCCTTAAAGATGGCCCACTCTGCTGACAAAGCACCAGGAAAGACCAGTTGTCTGTATCATTAATGCAGTATGCTCTGTTGATCAGGGTGACTGACTATAAAATTAATGCAGGACACGAAAAGGATGGCGGTGTGAGACGTGAGGCAGAAACCTCCTCCCAAAACCACATAAACACAAAAATAGAGCAAATACAACTAATCCTGAAAGAGCAACCCAAAGACTACAGAACAGACTGCCTACCTCTGGGGAGAAGAGAAGACCTCACAGAAATGGATAAAGTAGCAGTACTGTGATCTGGAGGGAACCAAGTCCTTTCCCCACCCCAGCTTACTGGTGGGAGGAGGAGAAATGGAGCAGGGAGAGAGTAGAAGCCCAGGACTGCTAAACACCCAATAGTGGAGATCTGTTCCTGGAGTACGAACTCACATTACATGGTGCTCTGGAGATTAGTGGGGTTGGAAAGCAAAGACAGGCAGAATACTTGGAGAGACTGAGACTCCAGCCGCTTGTGGAGAACAGGTACGCACAACTGGCCCCTCCAGGACAAAAGAAAAGCGGGCACTTTGAAAGACTTCCCAACAGTGAGAGGGGTGCTAAAGGGGCAAAGATTACACAGAGCTTGCTGCTCAGGAGAAAGGGCAGGTGGACAAAATCGTCCCAGGACACTCAGGCCAGCAGGTTAGGAACTCTCAGGAGCTTCAGATGATCCATCCCCCTGGCTGGCAATTCAGCCCTGAGGCAACCCACTATAATATGCAACCTGCCCATCAGGTTATCATCAGACTTCTCAGGAGAAACCTTACAGGCCAAAAAGGAGTGGCATGATATATTTAATGCAGTGAAACAGAAGGGACTCACACCAAAAATACTCTATGAGGCAAAGACACCACAGAAAAAAAAAATTACAGACCAATATCCCAGATGAACACACATGCAAAAACACTCGACAAAATATTAGCAAACCAAATAAAAAAATATATCGAAAAGATTAGCCATCATGATGAAGTGGGATTTATTCCAGGGATGCAAGGATAGTACTATATTCGACAATCCATCAACATAATACACCATATCAACAAAAGGACAAAAATCACATGATCATTTCAATAGATGCTGAAAAGCATTTGACAAAATTTAACATCCATTTGTGACAAAAGCTCTCAACAAAATGGGTTTAGAGGACAAGTACCTCAACATAATAAAGGGCATATATGACAAACCCACAGCCAATATAATACTTGACAGTGAAAAGCTAAAAGCTTTTCTTCTAAGATTGGGAACAAGACAAGGATGCCCACTCTCCCCACTTTTATTCAACATAGTACTGGAGGTCCTAGCCACGGCAATCAGACAACACAAAGAAATAAAAGGCATCCAGATTGGTAAGGAAGAAGTTAAGCTGTCACTGTTTGGAGATGACATGATAGGGTACATAAAAAATCGTAAAGAATCCATTCCAAAACTACTATAACTAATAAATGAATTCAGCAAAGTTGCAGGAAACAAAATTAATACACAGAAATCTGTTGCATTCAGGTACACTAACCATGAACTAGCAGAAAGAGAAATCAGGAAACCAACTCCATTCACAATTGCATCAAAAAGAATAAAATACCTAGGGAATAAACCTAACCAAAGAGGTGAAAGACCTATACCCTGAAAACTACAATACACTCATGAGAGAAATTAAAGAAGACACCAATAAATGAAATACATCCTGTACTCATGGATAGGAAGAATTAATATTGTCAAAATGGCTAACCCACCTAAAGCAATCTACAGATTCAATGCAATCCCTATCAAAATACCAACAGCATTCTTCAATGAACTAGAACAAATAGTTCTAAAATTCATATGGAACCACAAAAGATCCTGAATAACCAAAACAATCCTGAGAAGGAAGAATAAAGCTAGAGAGATTATGCTCCTGAACTTCAAGCTCTACTACAAAGCCATAGTAATCAAAACAATTTGGTATTGGCACAAGAATAGACCCGTAGATCAATGGAACAGGAAAAGGAGCCCAGACGTAAATCCACGCATATATGGTCAATTAATATATAATAAAGCAGCCATGGATAAACAATGGGGAGATGAGAGCCTCTTCAACAACTGGTGTTGGCAAAACTGGACAGCTACATGCAAGAGAATGAAACTGGATTATTATCTAACTCCATAAACAAAAGTAAACTCGAAATGGATCAAAGAGCTGAATGTAAGTCATGAAACCATAAAACTCTTAGAAGAAAACATAGGCAAAAATCTCTTGAATATAAACATAAGCAACTTTTTCCTGAACATATCTCCTTGGGCAAGGGGAACAAATACATAAATGAATAAATGGGGCTACATCAACCTAAAAAGCTTCTGTACAGAATACCATCAAGAGAACAAAAGGACACCATCAGTACAACACAAAGGCATCCTACAGTATGGGAGAATATATTCGTAAATAACTTATCTGTTAAGGGGTTAACATCCAAAATGTATAAGGAACTTACATGCCTTAACACTCAAAAACCAAATAACCCAATTAAAAAATGGGCAGAGGATCCTAATAGACACTTCTCCAAAGAAGAAATTCAGATTCTGCCAACAGGCACATGAAAAGATGCTCCACATCGCTGATTATCAGGGAAACACAAATTAAAACCACAATGAGATATCACCTCACATCGGTTAGGATGGCCAACATCCAAAAGATGAGAAACAGTAAGTGCTGGTGAGGATATGGAGAAAGGGAAACCCTCCTACACTACTGGTGGGAATGTAAATTAGTTCAACCATTGTGGAAAGCAGAATGGAGGTTCCTCAAAAACTAAAAATAGATATAACATTTGAGCCAGTAATTCCACTCCTAGAATTTACCAGATGAAAACAAGATCCCTGATTTAAAAAGACATATGCACCCCTATGTTTATCACAGCACTGTTTACAATAGCCAAGATATGGAAGCAACCTAAGTATCTATCAGTAGATGAATGGATAAAAAAGAGGTGGTACATATACACAATGGAGTATTATTCAGCCATAAAAAGAAATCAAATCCTACCATTTGCAACAATATGGATGGAGCTAAAGGGTATTATGCTTAGTGAAATAAGCCAGGAGAAGAAAGACAAGTACCAAAGAATTTCACTCATTTGTGGAGTATAACAACAAAGCAAAAACTGAAGGAACAAGACAGCAGCAGACTTAAGACTCCAAGAAGGGACTCGAGGTTACCAAAGGGAAAGGGGGTGGAGAAGGAGGGAGAAGGGGACTAAGGGGCATATGATTAGCAACATAATGTAGGGAGGTCACGGGGAAGGCAGTATAGCACAGAGAGGACAAGTAATGACTATAGCATCTTACTATGCTGATGGACAGGGACTGCACCGGGGTGTGGAGGGGGCACTTGATAATATGGGTGAATGTTGAAACCACAATGTTGCTCATGCAAAACCTTCGTAAGATTGTATATTGATGATTCCTTTATTAAAACAAATGTTTACAAAATAACAAAATAAAATTAATGTAAACAAACATAATAACTTTCCAGTATTGCAAACACCAACCAGTTATAGGTTATATTGGAAAGGCATTATTTTCACATAAAGTCACAATGGCAAAAAGATGAAACCCCTAACCCTAAATCTAAGTAATATGCTGGATTTATATGAAGACAACTTTAAAATCTAAGGGACATTAAAAGAAGTGAATAAAAGGAAAGTCATACCTTCTTCTTGGACTGAGATAATCAAGTGTATAGACACCACTCTCCCTAAATTACTTTATAATTCAATGCCATGCCAATCACATTACCAATGGGATTTCTAGTTTATTTGGGGATATGAATACCCAAGAATAAGCATTGGCAGTTATATTCTGAAAAACAAAAGGAACAATGGTGGCTGGTCCTAACACATGGTAAATGTGTGAGAAAGCTGCTGTCATCATCTGGTTCTGGTGCAGAAACTGACCCATAAGAATACAATTTTGAACCCTACAATGGAATATGATATGATAAAAAAGACACTTAAAATAAGCTGGAAAAGTGGATCATTCAATAAATGATATTGGGACAAGTGGATAGCCACATGGAAGAAAATTTTCTAAAAGTTCTGGCTGAATCAAAGACTTAATAAAAAAGGAAATCATAAAAGCAGTAGGCAACATGGATAAAATTCTTAAATCTTCGAGTTGGGAAAGCCTTTTTACCATAATACACAGCCAGAATCCATGAAGGAAAAGATAACTGGGTCCTGTAAAAACAACAAACTTCTCAATGGAAAATAATACCAAACACAAAGACAGGAGAAAAATGATGTAATGAATGATTTTTTTAATATGTAAAAAACTCTATAAATCAATGAGGAAAAAAGCAGTAAAATATTTTACAATACGCTACTAACACTGGCAGTGGTATTTTAACTTTTTACCTTCCCATGTTTGAATGTATTACTTTTATGAAAATGATGTTAAACTAGTTCAAAACTCCAATGCAAGTCTTCAATTGTAACTATTCCACAAAATTAAGTACATCACCATTTTTGCATCTGTCTGACGTGAAGAAAAAGCACTATTTACCATTTCCGAATTAGAAGCATTATGCAGTTTCATAGCTTTCTCTTGAACATTTCCAATGACAGCATCTGCACATAGTGCCAGGGAAATAAGGATCACACCTTCAAGAAGGCATAAGAGAAAAAACAACCTCCTTATTTAAACATATGAACGATAATCAAGATTGATCAGAGATTTAATTGGGCTAAAAAGCAAAAGGAGATCTTAAATCACACTAGCTTAGTAAAGCTGAGTAGTTTCATCCACAACCAGTTACAATAGGCACATATGTGATATTTTAAAAAAGTAACTAACACTGATAAACTGCATTAATGCTGTCACTATACTATCATGTCAAATATTAGTTCTACTTTTAAATTTGATTATGTATTTGTAAGAAATACTACATTAAATACAGAAGAAATTCTTAGGCAATCTATTGGGATTTTTAGTTAATCGAAAAAATCATATGAAGAGGGAAATCATAAAAAAAATCACCTACATTATTGAAATGTTTAATCTAAAGCCCATAAACATGCATGGAGTTGTGAAGGTCTTTCGAGTAAAGGTCCTACCGAAAATTCTGCATTTTATCTTTGCACTCACACACACAAATCTCCAAGCTGTTTTTGCTAAAAAGCTCACCTAGAATTTTGGAACTTTTAAAAAATTACAGTGCAGAATCCTTTCATATTTGTATAATATCCCCCATTTTTTACAGTTGTTTCTTCCACATCTAATTCAGGAGTGACTTTATTGGCTTGTTGATCAAGTTGTTTCAATTAACTTCATTTTCATAGAAACAATTTTCTTCAAACTCATTTTTAAATAACTTCAGTGCAATTTAATCATTAAATAATTATAAAAACAGGTACAACTGGCATAAACAAATCTGGAAATCAATGTACTCAAACAAATATGCATGTGTACCTGAGAAGCAGGCTATTTAACCCCGAGTGTTTGGACAGTGGTCACCAATCATGGTGATTTATTTTACAGAAAGAATAAAGCAATTGTGAGTTGAAGGGATTTAAGGCATCTTCTTTTTTTATTCTTTTTAATGGATAAGTAATCACAGGTAGCAAAAAAATACCTGTACACATGTATGCACTTAACTGAGAATTCTCAAGTTTGCATATTTATTCTTCAATTTGAATTTTTGTCACCTTTGCATTTATTATGTAATCATATATATTTTTTTTATCAAACTTCATTCTAAATGCTTTTTTCCTAGTTTCAAATATTACGTCTGTCCTCAAAGGAAAAGACACTATTACTGAAGATCTTGAAAACAATGTCCTAGTTCCTAAAAGGCTATTCAAAGACATTCAGACATGTTTTGAAGAATGACAATATCATGAAAATACCTGCATTGCATCTTATGGAGAATATTATAAAGGTGGACATTTATTTGGATGAGTTCTGATATATTCACTTCATACATTCAAAGTTTTATTTATCTCTATCTTAAATAACCATCTTAATAGTCAATCTAATGTCCTTTAGGTAATATGCTCTCATTCGTCAGGTAAGTATGTATTTACACTTACAAGTACATGATAAGTGCTCATTGATTATCCTTAATGAAGTATGGTTAGGTTCTAATTCTCTTAAAAATATTTCCACAGAGTTCAGAAAGGGTTAGCACTTATGTTACAGGGAGAAGTTACAGAACTACTGAAAATACCTCTTCCGTTGCCATCAGAGTATCACACGTGTGTGCATTCACATCCACTATGCCCTCATCTTAAATTCTATCCTCCCACCACCTTCATGTGAGCCAAGCAATCATCATTATCTCTGTTTCCCAAGTGAAGCCCTAAGGGGTCTGGCAATTTACCCATGGTTATAATTTTCAGTGATTCGCACAGAATTTGAAGCCATGTCTCTGATTGCGAACTCTGTGCCTCCTCTAAAATTGCTTTTTTGTAAATAAGTCAATTTCCTCAGTCTTTAAATGTAATCTTCCTTTCAGAGGTGCTGACAGGAAAACTTAAGCATTCCTAAAAAACCCAAACTGTGGTAGAAATATCTGCAACTGTAAGCTTTCTCAAGGTAAAACCCACTGAAGTAATGACCACTTGCATTCTTAATGATCAAAGTTGAAAGAACAGAAGTAAGAGGTTCTGCGAGAACTTTCTGATTTAAAGGGCTGATCCAAGAGGCTGAAGCGGTTACATTTAAATTTAGCAGCCTGGTTAACCAGGTTAGTAAGGAAGGTGGGTGACAGCTGGTATAAGAAAAATTTTGATTCTTAGAAAGAATACCAAAGCTTATGTAAATGAGTTTTTTTATTATGCAAAACTTTTTTCTTATGAATAATTAGTTTGTACTTGCTGATTATATATTTATATTTCTTTGTTCCCCCTGTTCTCTCAAAGGTTCCTTTGAAGATGTAGATAACTTAAATATTATTTTTATCAGGCTAGGAGATGAGATGATACTAAAACAATCTTATGAATAAAACTCAATAGTTTAAGAATAACAAAACTGAACATATAATAAACAATTTCTTTGTAAGGTCTTTAGAATCAAAACTAGATTCCAACACATATTTTTTTATTCTTATTTATTTCAAAACATGTTATAATACTTACTCTGTTTATGAAAATCTAATCTAAAAAATTCCTCATGGCACACAATAAAGAGACTCTTTATGGTGGAAACTATGCACTTTAAAGTTATGACCATATTTATATTACAGTCCAATATTAAAGTACAGCATAATTTTCCTTCTTTAGCTAAAACAATAAGTAAATGGCCAAGTTTCAGTTTTTTTAAAGAAAGAATACAAACAATTACTATAATTATTTTGCTATAACTTGTATACATTTCCAATTCAGCCCATAAAAAATTGACCTATCACACTTAGCAAAAGAAAATTTCTGACTGGGCAAACAGCCTCTTGTCATGTCAAAATGCAAGAGTACTAAAAGCAATGGTCGTATTTCCAGAGTTACAGTATTTCTACTACTTCCTATCTGAGAAGTCTGAAAGCTTTGTTAGATATGAGAATCACAGATGCCACACCATTACTTTAAACCCTTATGATACTGTAAAAATCCCCTAAACCAAAATGTCTACAAAATCTAGGAAAAAAATAAATTCCTTACCTGTCATGTTGAAATTGGGTGCAATGGTGCTGTCAGCTAGGGTAAACCAGATCAGGCCAAGACTCATACACACTGCAGCAGACACGTCTGCAACATTGTAACGCTTCCCTGTGTGAGAAAGACTTAAGTTAACCTCATTACCCACACACTCACTCAGTGCATTTCTAGATCTATGTGTTTAACTAAGGATAGCAGAGATCTGCTTTTTATAGTAAAGGTAAAAAATATATAAAGAGCATTTAGGACGAGGCATGAGATAGCCACAGAAGAGCTTCTGAAAATTTAAATTACCAATGAGCTCTAACAGGTCCTCACAAGTTAGATAGGAGATCCTACTTATCTGTTTGGTAGTGAGTAAATAAGAACATTTAAAAAGTTTGTAGACATCAGTGCCTCTTTTAATGTATGTATAATATGACGCTACAAATTTTCTTACACTTTATAAGTTCAGAAAGTAACCAGGGTAATTATTCAGGATATATAACTTTAGATCTGTAAATACCTCAAGCAGCTAACTTCTTGGTTGGTGAGAATTAACTTATATTAATATATCCACATTTAAATAGCAAAATCATGTAGCACTGACTTTCTGTAAGGATTGCAAGCAAGTATTAAACATGTCAGTCAGTTATGATGTTAAATGTGATTTTTAATAGGGATCAATACTTTTTCCTGCATGAACAGCCATCTGAAATTATATGTGAAGTACTTGACATACATACTTTCACTTTAAAAGGCTTTTTTTGGGAAGGCATCTTAATGTATAAAATATAGTCAGGCTCTCTAAGAACTTCAGTGATACAGAAACACTGGTTTATGGAAACCTATATATTCTTCATGAACAGCCCCAAAACTTGTTCCACTGCTTTCTGCTACATTGTTTTTTCTTTACTCCTTTTTCCACATAGCCTGTGACTTAGTTGGGGTTCTAAGAAGTCAGTAAGCCAAGCAGAGGTAGTAAAAAAAGCAGTTCTGCTCAGGTTAAGCCTTATTTCAGTGAGAACTGTCCATTTGTACAAAGAAGACAGAAAGTGCAGCCCTGATAGGAGGAGAATGAAAGAATTGAAAAGAGGAGCCTTTCAAGTGCTTCTGAGCTAGGCCTTCCACTAGTGAATACAGTATTTCTGTAAATGGCATAAATTCCAGACTAAGAGAGTAAAATAATAAACAAAACACTTTTATTTTTCCCCAACCCCAATTGATTTCAGATGCAAGGGTATATCACATAAGTATCAGCACTGTTATAATGCCTCAGTTTTATAAGAATTTTATAGTATCTAGTGTTCACTCAAAATATTAATCAAAGTGTAATGTTTTTCCTAATGCTAGATGCTGTAACATTTCCTATTAATTTCAAACAGTATGAAAACATATCATTACTATACCTTGAATAAAAACTCCTCCTATCATAACAGGAATCAATTTGCAGCACTTGAAGATGACTTGGGTAGGGTAATTCAGGTAGCCCAAAGAGGTATTTGATAACCCCATAGTACCCACAGTTAGAAAAGCTATTATCATGTAGGTTTTTCCTGGTATTCTGTAAAAGACAATTTTTTAAATCTTCATTTTGAGACTCAATTCATAATATTGTACGATAATGTGTTTACAATGTGTAAATGCCTCAGTTCTCTTTAATATTTCAGAATTATTGGTAAACTATCACTGTTAAAAACACTGTTTACTTGTATAAAAGAATGTTGGTAAAAATAACAATTTACCTTTCTTGAATCAATCACAAGTGAGAACTGTGTGAAAAAGTGGTATATTAGAGTTACTTAGATTCTTACTGAAGGTATAAAATGTTGGGGAAAAGTTTTTCAGCAATGCTATGTATAAAAACTACCTGTTTTTAAAAAAATATTTGTATAATGGTAAAAGGCACCTTGATTTATTTTTGACTTCTAAATTGTCACTGTTTCCTAATGTTTCCATCTAGCATTAGGAAAAATACATCCAGCCACTCAGCTAGAGTAACCTGAGCAGAATTTCTCTAGAAAAAGTACATGATGATTCAAAACTTTGGACATCATTTGTATTACCACAGTATCTTACAATTAAACTGGAACTCTGTATTCTATGAAATGTTGAAATAGTCAGCTTTAAGATGAGCAACCTGACTCTCCTCATGATCCCAAATCATCTACTTTGGGTTCTACCTGGATTTCCTAAGAGTTCTTAATTTGGCAACTTCAGAATTTCGAGTTAGTATTTCACACATATGCTCCACTTGACTGGATATTTAATGGCCTAAAACTATCTCGTATGTTGGGGTGACTAACACACAAAGTACCATTCACATAATTATATTATGCTGCATACTTAGATGTAGTTCCTATTTGAGATTTGTGTTCATATTTAAAGCAACAAAACACCTCCTACTTTCTCTATGGCTAGGTATAAGGCAAAATAGTTTACTGGAAAAACTCAATAAAAATGCATTCTTTCCATTTACATTTCAATGTTGAGGCCTTTAGCAACCTAACTACTACTATAGTTTAAAATCCATGTGGAAATACTCTGGCAGGACCACATGCATCCACGGACACACCAACACTGATTTTCATGCTGTCTGGGTTTAGCCCTCAGTGCGGTATCATCAGTGAAGGAGACAGCTGCTTCTCTAGGTGATGATCTAAGTCACAGTAGTCAGATTTCCTCAGAAATATATTACAAACAGTACCCAGAAAATAAAAAAACTCAAGTCAGAAAAATCATTAAGAATGATGATTAGAAAAGTAGTATTGTACAGGTAGAAAAAGCAGCCTGCAACTCAGGAAACCTGAATTGAAAAGGTTCCAACGCTGAGCACAATGTGCTATGTATCTCATGAGAATCCCAGCATCCCTCTAGGCCCTACCTTCTCACAGGTAAAGTGAGGAAGCTAGACTTCATCACCTTGCCTCGAGGACTGTCAGCTTCTCTTTTACTTAATATCCAAATTATTTACATCTTTAGATATGGTGGGAAAATTGCTAACTTCAACAAGCCCCTTCAAAACCAATCTGACATATCTCTGTATTAAAAACTCACACAAAGTAATTAATAATAAAGTGACAAGGTGACCTTTGGTGGAAAATACCAAGCAGTATATTTTAGGGCATTATAGTTTAAAATGTGCATTACCACATCTGATCCTCAACATAAAGTGGAGAATCAGATAATTTAAGAAACTTTCCTGAGGTCTTGACAGAGCTATTAAGGGGCAGTGTGCTAAGACTCAAACCCATGTTTTCTGACTCCAAATTATGTACTCTCTCAAGTACACAGGTATTCATATAAACATAGGAAGAAAGAAAAAAAACCTAAGTGCAGAGTTTGGCTAATTAAAAATCTGAAGAGCAGAGCCACTTAAAAAAATTCAGAAATATGTAATTGGGCATATTTTCATTGTAACATACTTTTGAAGACTTTTTCTAAAAAAACTTTTAATGTGCCTTGGAATGAAAAGATTTCTACTGATAATTACATTTATCATGCATCTGTAAATTCTCCTAAATTCCTTCACTTATGTTTAAATCAAACAAATAATTTTATTCTTAAGTAGTTGTGGTTATGTGGTTTAAAGTTTGGATAAACATGGCTTGAGGCCACTCACCATCTAGTGGGAGAGGGAGGTGTATCTTTTTGAAATCTAACAGAATACCATCTTTGTGTCACTTCTCATTTAACAAAGACAGCATTAGATTCTTTCACTTTGGAAGCAGAGGTCCAGCAGTTTGCAACAGGTAATGAATCATCAGGCTTCATTATGTATTAGTCTTGACGGATATATTTAATTATTTTCTATCTTACCACCTGTGGCTAAATTTTAGAGTTTCAGAACATGAAAAAAATAAATATCCTCAGATTCAAACCTTTTATTACTACTGCTATAATAATTATTAGCAATCAAGAGAGGTTGAGAGGTAAAATCAGACTCATGAAGAAACAATGGCATTACAGATTTAAGTACTTAATATTTTATAGTTACCTCCATACAAATATACCTCTATCAAAAACATTTGTGTAAGAAAAAAAGGTGTGAAAATTTTATATTTTCACTGAAGGATTAAACATTTATTGTCAGTGAAGGCAGAATGTCAGTATTATAACTGCTTATTACATTAAACTGCACTCTATATACATGAAATAGTCACGTGAGGGTCTGACATGACAGGATAACCATACTTCCATTTATCATGAATATATTCAATTTTCTAATCACCTTTTGTTTATAAGCAAAGACTAGATTTTTACTGCATATTGTTCTATATGTTATTAAAAATACTTTGAGGTATTTCTCAAACCTAGATGGTCAGTTTAAACTATACTGTCAGACAAGCTCCTCTGATTTTGAAGAAAAGGAATGTTACAAAATTTCTCTGCTTTCTAAGAATGCATTCTCAGCTATTGGACATTACAAACACAACAATGGTTAAGTGGAATATATCCTACAAAACATTAAATATACATTTTAAAAACCACTATAAAAACAGGTATTGATATTTCATTTCATCACTTTGATGTTAATAGTACTACAAATCTTTCAGTGATCACAACTATTTGTGTACATCTGAATACTTCCTGAATACTTCCTCCTGTTTCAAGAAGATACATTTACTGTAAGTTGAACCTAAATTATATTCTTATTTAATAACATTACATTTAAAAGAGAGACCACTTTTTTCAGTGTACAATGAAATTTATTAATTTTTTAAATAAGTTGATATGATAAAAGTTCTTGGGTATATGTTTTGTTAATGGAAAATGTGTATTTCATGTATAATATACACCATATGCCCCAAAATAAAACAAACATTTAACTACTACTAGTGAACTTAAGTGTCAAAAAATAAAAACAAATAAACCACATACCTTCTCCTTTTGTCCTGAATAAGCTGAAGTTCTATTAGGCCAAATATGGAGTAAAATGCAAATTGTACTAAAGTAAGGTACCAGCCAAAGGTCTTAAGACCCTCCACTGAAAATATTAATTCCTGTCAAAAAACACATGCAGACTGTTAAGTTCAAGGGGGAGATGAATTTCCTCACAATAAATTTCTATGAACAGTATAAACCAAGCATCATTTACAACAACAGATAAAGACCAAAGAGCCCGAATTACAAGGCTTCTCGGAGGTAAAATTAAGGAAGTTAGGGCCCTTTGCAAAGAACTGACAGTAGGTACCAAAAGGTTTGCAAATCAGCAGAAAAGTAAAGGATGGGAGGGACAGCTGAGAAGCCATGTGATCCTATGCCTTTCTCTTTTTCTAAAAGAGCAAAATTAAAAGAGTTGCCCAAAATGGTGAGAAAGGGAACTGATTCAAGAACTCAATTTACTGTAGAAAAAAGCACTATTTCTTTAGAAGTCTATCATCTTAGGCCTGTTTTTCTATAGGAATATAATCAGTTCAAGTCAATGTTTTTCCCAAAGAAAAAGTAAACAAAGCCTCTAAACAGATCCTGAACCTAGATTTTATACACATAGGATATTGTATAATTCCCCAGATTTAGATTTCATGTTCAAGTGTGCAAGGTATTCAGGATTTTTCTGGCTTATGAACTATAAACATGAAAACAGCTTTATTAAGTATTCTGGCATTCAGACACAGCTCACACACTCTCTTTCTATATATATAGTTAACTTCATTACAAAACCCCAACCATGTTCTTTAAACTATTTTCATATGCAATTATATATTTAAAAAAGTAGCAATGTTAGTTTTCACAAAGTAAAAGTGATATTATACACATAATTATCAGCAGTCTAACTTTAAAAGAAACTGCACATACTAGTTACAAATTAAACCTGATCATTAATCAAATAGAAAAAATTTAATGGAATTGTAGAATTTCTAATTAATTTTCCTTTGCAATGGCTAATTTTGCTCCCAAGCTATGTGCTAACAACGGTAGTTTGAAATGTTTCTCAGTAAGAAATTGCAACCTTTATTTATTAAAATTTACTATTTTTCATTGTTCTTCACTGTGATATTTGAACCTTTATATCATCTTCTCGTGGGGGAATCAGTTATAAATATTAAAAATTTTAATTCATTTTTTGCTTTACATTAATACTCTTCCTGGTATTTTGCAAGCTAAAAGAGTCACAACTCTACTTTCTTTATTTACTTTATCTCCATAAGACAATGGAAAAAAGTACAATTTTTAAGATCACTCTGATTAATATTTAACAATACCAGAAATATTATCTGTGTTTTAAGAAAACACACCAGTTTCCTTGAGTTATATAAGGTTCTCTCATGTTAGGAAGCTGCATTAAGAAAACAAAGTTAGTAACGGCTGAAAATATTAATGAACTGACCATTGGTGATATTAAGCCTCCATTCAAACATCCTGTTTATAATAGCCTGGATCCTTACCATCCAGTCCATGTCTATGAAGGTCAGAAATTTGCTACTGGTCAAATTACACACCATTCCATAATACAATGCAAATAATATGGTACGAATTGCGGCAATATTAGAAGTGCTTTTCAAAGGTCAAAATCACAGGAAAATACCGCTCTGGCAAAGTTAGGTGAGAAGAAACTAACAAGAATGAGAATACAATAGATGCTTCAAAAAAGATTGACTCACATAATACAGGATTAAAGAGATATCCTTGAGCAAACACAAAACATCCTGATATACTTTTGAAAAAATACTCTTTATATTTGAGCTCTAATGATTAAGAATGAACTGGAATATGCCTTTTGTGTTATTTAATTTTATTGAGAATTATGTCCAAAAGACCAACCAATACTTGAATCATTCTTTTAAAAACACATGGTTGCCCATTACCTATACTTTGCTAATATTTCAAATTTTTTCATAATTTCAGTTTAAGATTGTCTCTCTCCCCTCCCCAGACTTGAAACGTGAACACTGAAATTCTGATCCATTTTCAATATACTTACTTTTAAGCCCTTGTCTACTACCAAACTAAAAAACTCAAAATTTGTGGAAAAACTGGTATCCTATCAAGAAAAATTTCTTAGACTAAAACTTTTAAATGCCCATATTGATCTCAATTGTTATAATGAACACCAACAAATAACTATTTTTTACCTGTAAATATCCATAAATTAGGTAAAATATAAAAACTCCAGCAACACATATGAAAAATTGAGTAAGTTTGTTAAATTTGCTGAGATTTATGCCAAGTACTACAATGTCATCTATTGACTTGATGTGTGGTGACATTGTTTGGGTTTTGCAGGGGACAGTGATGGAAATATATTTCCTGGAGTTGTTGAACTTGAGATCCATGGTTCCAGTTCTGCTGCATTCAGTGCTTCCAAAGTTATCTTTGCTGGTTTCCTCTCCTTTGTTCAGGCTTTCTTTTGCTTGCTCAGCCAAGTCCTAAGGAAATAAACAATTAAAGCAAAACATTCGGATCATAAGTATATGCTCCAAATAGTACTTCAAATCACACTTTAAAAATTACACAGGTAAGTCTCATTCCATCTGGATATTAATATATTAACTCCCCTATTCAAGCCTCCATTCACCCAAAAACAGTTATGTCTACTCTCCAAACGATTTACCTTCACCTGATAAAGACCAATACATCACTAAATTAAATATATACCATTCTCATTTCCACAGAAACCAAAAGCTAACTTTGCATTTATTTTATCAAAGTAGTAAACATGCCTTAATTATGTTTTTGTATGTAGTAAGAATAAAATTTTTAAAGTCCACAACAGTTTCTGCATAACATCTTCAACATTTAAGTCTTTAATTGCAGGAAAGAAAATTTATGTTCCTTTATGTGCTAAAACAATTATAAAATGTATTTGCTAATGACATTTTAAGATAAAGTCAAGTTAACTCTAGTTACTTATGAAGTTAGATGTACTAGAGACTATGAAAGGATAATATGCTTTAGCAATAGCATCTCTTAGATTAAAAGAAAACATTCTCCTCCTTTGGGGAAAATAATTCTAATTTAAGAAGTCCTTGGGGAGTTGTTCAATGAGTATAAACTCTCAGCTATACAAGATAAGTTCCAAGAGCTCTTACACCATACAGTGCCTATAGGTAACACGGTGTTGTGCACTGAACAATTTGTTAAAGAGGGTAGGTCTCATGTTAAGCTTTCTTCACCATGCATGCATACACACAAAGAGGGACACAAAGAAACTTTTGGAGGTAACACATGTTTATTACCTTGATTATGGTGATGGTATCACAGATGTATGCATATGTCCAAACTCATCAAATTGTATGTATTAAACATGTGCCTTTTTTGTATATAAATTATACCTCAATAAAGCTGTTTAAAAAAAAGAAATAAAGTCTTTGAGATTGTAAAATGCTGAAATACACATCATTTTTTGTTAGTCTATCCAAAGATGACTGAAAATAATTTTGGATTTATATAAACTGAAAAATGAATTGCGTGTAAAGGCTGAAGACATTATGATAGGGAATTGAACAAACTTATAAAGAGAAAAATTAACTTTCTAGAAAAGACTCATCATCTGTTACAATTCCAGTAGGCACTAAAATTTTGACTACTTGAGGGAAGATGTAAGGATAATTCTGACAGTGAACCCTCCTCTGGAAATCTTTAAAACTGTCATATCGTGGTTTAAAATGGCAGGAATCAGAGTTGCCCCTTTAAGATCATGGAAATAAATTCATTTCGTTTGCTTACTGGTTACCAGTGCCAGAAAACCTACCCTTGCATTTAAAATTCAGTCTTACTAATCAGGGCATCACTGGTCAGATCATGAGTCAGATGAAAAAAGACACTGAGCTCTGATACCCAAACACTGTGATCCTGAAGGTTCTCCATATACCTTCCATTGTAGACATTAATGATGCATATTAAACAACAGATAAAGAAAACAGGCCCATGTTCTTGTGGTGCAAAAATCAAGCATAGAATTAAAACTAGTTTACAACTTAAATGGTCAACATTTTGCTTTGTTTAGAAGCTCACACTAACACGTAAAACTAAGTCTTAAAAACCCACACGTGTGCATAATTCCTGAGTATGTCAACACATATATTTAACTAGTTTCCTGAAGGTACAAATAAACTTGTCTTTTCCAATCTTGAGAAGTCTCCCACCACAAAAGGGTAGAATATGAGGAAACTATGTATATCATTACAGTGTGAGTAACCTAAACAAAACTGATTCTGTATTTTGTCACATTAATGGTACAAATAAAAGAATCTTGCCATTAGATCTACATTAACTGGTCTCTAAATATTAATCATTACCTATGGGGTATAATTATGAAACAGAAAACAAGTTTCTGTCCCATTTCTTTGTAAATGCTGCAATACACAAAGTTCAACCGTGTTCTAATTTTTGATGGCTACTCTATTTTTCCCAAGGGTGAAGGAGAAACTTAAGATTGTTTTATACATACATAATATTTAATATATATATATGATTATATAAGATCATATATATGTATATGTATACGACTAAATTAAGTACACACAACACTAAATTATTTTCAAATGCTTAAGTCTCTCTTCCAAGTCCCCAACTACTCCAATTCACTCAGAAAAACGTTTACCTAAAACCAATTCTTGACATCTGATACCCTACAGTAGAAGAAATGCATATGACCCAAACTAAAAAGCTCTCTTAGCACGGCAGAGTTCCACTTTCTTTCAATATTTCCTTAGAAAAATAAAAAGGCGGAGGAGAAAAATTAAGCTGCAAAGACTGGAGGAATTTGTATAACTCCTAGTGAAGTTTAGGGCCTAAATTTAATAACCTGTCAAGAACCACCACCTTGCACTGCAAATTAAAGGACTTCAGGGAACCAGAGTGCCTTATTTAAACACACATCCAGGAAGCAGCTCTCAACTAAAAGCCAGTCTGGGGAATCCTGGAGACTGACAGTTCTCCAGGGGCTCCGACAGTAGCCTAAAAGACCCGCTGCAAGTGGCCTCACGCCTGTGAGCCCACAGATGGGCCCGAGGGAGTTCTAGCCAGTGGGGGTCGGCAACGGGGTGAGAAGATCCAGACACTCCTCTCTAGAAACCATGCCAGCGGGTTACCGTTTTTAAAAAGGACGTCACCGTGCCGTCATCCTGACCTCATCCCCTCCCTGCCAGCTCGTTAAGGATGAGGAAGATGGGCAGTGTCAAGGTTCTCTTGGAGTGCGGGGAGGCCCGGAGGCCCATCCACTCTAAAGCCGGTGTGTCCCCTGGAAGGGTGACCCCAGCCAGACGGAGCGTCTTCCCCTCCCCAAGTCCGTCGCCATCACCTCCTGCTTCTCCTTTTCGCCTACTCCGGTACTTCCCAAGGCAGCCGCCGCCTCCATGCAGTGTATTTGCATCCCCGGCGTCTTGGCGCCACTTCCGCCTATGTGTCCCTGCGCGCGTGCGCAACCGCGCGGCCCCGCCCCGCCCCTCCTCGGGCCGCTGGCGGCGTGGGCGCGGCGTTCTCTGCGCGTGCTCCGTCCCCTCGGGACGCCGGCAGAGCGCGGCCCGGATGGGCTCGGCGGGGCGAGGACGGCACTTCCGTGCCCGCTGAAGATGGCGCGGTGGCCGCCTGCGCTGGTGAGGTCGGATGCTCTCATCTTGCGATCAGTGCCCTTCTCGAACCTGGTCTCGAAGCCTCTGAGTCTCGGCAGCCCCCAGGTTACGGCGGCCTGGGAGTCCCTGGTCCCGCGGCCGTGGGCGCCTCGCAGGAGCGACTTCGTCAGGAGCCTGCGCTGGACTTTGAGAACGAGGCCAATTGGAGAATGTTGAACTTGGATTTAGAAACCCGTCGGGTTCCGTCTTAACCGTACTTGATCCATTTGGGACGGGGCCGTCACTGTACCTTTCTCTGTTTGCAAGTTGTCTGTCTCATACCTGCCTTCTGGGAAGCGGGGCAGAGATAACACTTAGGTTGCTTCTGACGTTATAATTCAGCTTATACCTACAGCCACCTGGTCCTTAAAACCTGACAGAAATGTTGCCAGCGTTATTTTGACAGTGGCACTTACTGCACAGAATGTAAGGTTCTACCAGCCAACAAAGCTGAATATCTACCCTGCATTTAGGGCTACATCTACATCACTGAGATGAAAAGATAAAAACCGAGATAAGACAGGAGATGAGCTGTTTTTAGGTAACATTAAAATCACATGGGAGGCAAAGACTCCTTATAACAATGCCAGAACATTGAATGCATGCTTTGGATGTCCAGAAAGGGATGAGTTAGATTAATATATATGTTAGTAGCCAATCAGCTATGCACAGCTTTTAATATTTCACAGGCATTATATAGAAAAGGCAGCGTTTGATTTTGGATTGGGTGTGAGGCTTTATGTTCAAGTGTGGCAGATATCTTTAAGGACTGGATCTGGTTAGGCATTTGCATTGAAACTACCAGCTTTGCTGGGTTGGTGTTAATCTGCACTTTATAAATGTTGAAATTAAGTCTTAGGGAAGTTAAATATCTGAAAGAAATAGTAAATGCCAAAGCCTTTCAACGATGTTTGTTACCTGAATTATGTGAGTTTAATACTACTGTTAGGCATTCAAACATTTATTGAGTGAGCAGCCATTAAATGGGCATATGTGTAAATCATACATAATCCAAAAATTACAAGTATGAGTTCTCTGCCCTCAAGGAGTTCTGGATACTCATGAAAAGGTAAATATCACTATAAAACAACTTACAATGAAAGAGGTATAATAAGGTACCGTTTACTCATGACCGGACAATTACAGTAGCTGGACAGGTGTTTCTATCTTTATTCTTCCCTTTTATTTCTCTACACCCTAATTCCATTTAGCAACTGTGATGATCCTTTAGAATATGTAACAGAATATACCATTCGTCTGCTCAGAGCCCTTTAATGCTTAGCATTTTCTGAGATTAAAGGTCAAAACCCTTATCAGGCTTGTAAGAAAGAACTTGAGGACCACACCCAGAGCTACTCTTCAAAGCCCATCTGACCCTCTCCAAGGGTACCGAACATCTGCCCTCTGGGCGTCCTGCTCCTTCTCCCTGGAACGCTTCCCTCACAGATATTCACAGGATGTGTTTCCTCACGTTCTTTAGGTCACTGCTCAAATGTGACCTGCTAGTTTTTCCCAGACTACCTTATCTGGGAGAGCTTCCCTCTCCTACCCCTGCCACACACACTGTCCTCACCTTGAATTTCTTGTCCTCACCCCCTTTTGCTCTATTGGAATGTTCCATGAAAGCAAGGCTATTTCACAGCTGTATGGCCATCATCTAGAAAGAGTGCTTGGTAAGTAGTTGGCACTCAGTAAATACTTCGTGAATGAAGACTAAGATGAGGTGCCAAATGAGTGTTAAGTAGCATGGAGAGTCAAAACAAGTCAAATATTGGCTGGGGTGGATTTTGAAAGTTTCCTCTAGAAGCCAGAACCTAAATGGTGAGAAGGTTTCAAATAGGTTGGGAATTGGGGAAAGAAGGGAGGGGAGGGTAGTCCAAGTAGAGTCAACCAAAATAAACAGACATTAAGAGAAGGCAGTATCAGATCTACAGTAATGCTAATATGCTGACCTCTACAAACATAATTAAAATAGGAAAACTGTTAACAGCCAATCTGTGCAAATTTGGTCTTGCCTCTCACCAAGGACTGGTTTATCATTTCCCTCTTTACCAGAACATCCTGTCCTTCCTAGATTATATCCATCAGCTACTGTCAATTTCAGACTGGCAAATATATATTGAGAATAGTTAGAATTTCCTTTAAACTAAATAGCTTTTAATGTAAAGGTCAAATGTTATGGGCTAAATTGTGTCCCTTCCCCCCTCCACAAACACAAAAAATTCACATATTGAAGTCTTAGCCCCTAATACTTCAGTGTGACTATATTTAGAAACAGGGTCTGTAAAGACGTACCTAAGTTAAAAAGAGGTGATAAGGGTGGGTCCCAATCCAATCTTACTGGTGAACTCATAAAAAGAGGAGATTTGAACACAGCTGTGTATAGTGGAGAGACCATGTGAGAGCCAAGATTGAGGCCTTAGAAGAAACCAACCCTACAAACACCTTGATATTGAACTCCAGAAATGTGAAGAAATACATTTCTGCTATTTAAGCCACCCAATCTGTGATACTTGTTACGGCAGCTTTAGCAAAGTAATGCAGTCAGTGAAATATCTTACATGTCAGATGTGAGATGTATGACTGAGTAGTCCTTAAAGAGTATGTATTGAATAATGATTAACTCCCTTACATTAATGTGATACCTTTATTATAACTATTGTGGTAAACAAAGACTTGCAACTATGAACTATCAACTTTTAGGAAATTAACAGTCAAGTTGTGACATTAACAGTCAAGTTGTGACAAAAGCCTTTGGTGTCCTGACTCATATTCTGAGCATCACCTCTGATTTTTGACTTGGATATGAGGACAGTTTCATGCAAGCTGCCACTCACTTCTCTCTGACAGGTTCTTTTCTCTAGTGTTTCCCAGGTCCCTTTGCTTTCTTCCCTGAGGCTCTTCTGACTTTGTTCATGCAAAGTCTCAGCTCACAACAGGTGCAGCTTTGAAGTATAGGTAAGTTAACACTCCAGGGACCACCTTTTAACCACTAGGTGACAGTAGCCAATGGAGAAAGGCTCCTGCCTCTTACCCTTTAGCTGGACAGTTTTGTAAGGTCATTCTGTGTTCTTCTCAAGTGATCTTGGTGAAATTGAGTTCTGGCTGCCCACAATAGCAACTTCAATTATGTTTTCTTATATCATCTTCTATATCTTTCTCCCCATTCTCTCACTGCTTCTCACTAGATCGCCTCCCAAATGACCTGGGCATGCACAGGTAGTTGTCCTAAGGGCCCTGCTGAGGTGGTTCTTTGAAGCTTGACTGCAGTGAAAGCCTGCAGGAAATGAAGTAGGGATAACAAAATGGCCTGGACAGAAAACTGAGGAAGGAATCAAGCCTCAGGGAGAAGCAAGCCTTGGAATGAGTTTATCATGGGAGAACAAAGGCCCCAGCCCCTGACCATGTTCCCTGGGAAGGCTGGCTGGACAGAGCCTTGAGTCAGCCAATGAGGAGTACACTGGTGAGAAGGGCAGTGGTATCTTTGAGAAGCTCAGTGTCCCCTGTAAGGCTGAAGTAGGAGATGCTTCCATGGAACTAGCATCCCTGATAATCAATAATGACTACAGGGGTGATAGGATTCCGTAATAGTCCAAGCCTAGTGGCAACATTTGCACAAGAGAAGCAAGCTGGGTGTAATTACCAAAGCTGGCAGCAAAGCCAGAACAGCAACCAGGTTACCTTGGCCTGTGGGCACATAATGAAAGTGTACCTAAGGGTGAGACAGATGTGTACGCCAAGCATATTGTTTGCCATGAATAAGCTTAGAAACCAAAAGACCTAGTAAGCAAAGGCTGACATTAGCTGCCTTCTTAAAGTAATCTCACACCGAGAGCATCAACTGAGGCGGCAGCCAGGTCCCTTGAGGAAGAACCCTCAATGCCACTGCAAGTGATGTGCAGTAAGTGCTCCCCAATACATCCCCCCAGAAACTGAAAGATGTTTCCCCAAGGACGAACACACTGTGGAAAGTAGATTACCAGATTCTCAAGGGCTGCTTGACACAGGGACTAGGCACTGATGCCAAGCACTCAAAATGGGGCCAGATGATAAAAGGAGCTCTGATCAAAGTCTGTTCCATGGCACGTCCATGACTCCCCAAGATATAACCAATATTGACACGCTTAGCAACTGGCAGAGCCCTCTTTGATCCATGGAAAGAATTCTAATAGTTAGGAAAGACAAAATGGAAGCTCTTGAAATCATCTTTCCTCCTTGGTCCAAGAAAGTCAGGCAGATGCTTTTTGCATTCAGGAGGAATTGCACAGGTTTCACTACCAGAAAATACTTTTAAATGCAGAGATGATAGCTTCCATCATATACCCATTTAATTAATCTTTATGGCCCTTGAAAAAATTAGGAGAATCATGGTGTATGTTGGTAGATTATCTAAACTAACCAAGTGGTAGCTCCAATAGCCGCTGTCATTATGCCAAATGTGGTAGTTTTGCTAACACAGGTAAAAACAGCCTTGTTAACTGGTTATCACACTGGCAAGTGTCCCACTGGTAAAATGGAACAAGAGTACTTTGCTCCTTTATGAAAGTGACTTCAATACACATTCGCTGTCTATCTCTAGGGTTAGGATTACCTTCCTGCTCTCTGTCAACATTGAGTCCTGCAAGAATTTTTGATTGCCATGAAGTCTCTGCTGACATCATGCTACTTGGACCTAGAGAACAGA